AAGTGTCTGAGTCCAGCAGCTGGAATTTTACCTCATGAAAGTATCTAATTCCAGATTGGACATTCCCAGGAGCTTCTCCACATTTTCTTTAACCTTTTCAGAATAGCCACCTGGGCAGAAGACATAAGAAATGAGACAGAGGAGCCTTCATAACAAAAGTGCTCAAAAAGAGAGTTTTTCTCAAGCACTCAGCCTTGGCTTACCAGATCTCTTTGGATGAATATTAGTTAAAATAGAAAAAGAACAAGGAAAAAAAGGGGGGGTGGAGGGAGTACATCTTTCACAAGGCTTCTTGTGCCACAAAAAGCCCTTTTTAGTTATGAGCTTTCCATTCAGAGTACTTAATACTTTTAGTGTCTTAGTTAAGCATAAGCAGGTTGTGTTTTAATGTTTTAAAAAGAAATGCAGACAGACAAAAGTAAAAATTTGATTGGCAGCTGCCTCTGAAGAAGCCAGAAACAATAGGAAGTTTTTACAAGGCACTTTACTTCCTAGGTGCATTTTAAGAAAATGCATTAATTTCTGTATGTAAACAATATTTAAATATGTCATTAGTCTCACTTATGTACCAGCAAAGTTTGAAATTAATTACCAAGAAAGCAATTCTTAATTTTTTTTCCAGTACGTGATGAGTTTAGTGGTGATTTTGTATATAGTATATATAATATACTGTATATATAATATTTTATAATACAACATGATTGGAATACTATGGCTCTTTTTAAATGCGTAGGCCAAGAGGCTTCCCTGCTGCTGCAGGTGAGATATGAGATCTATTGTTTGTAATTTGGATCATGATCAAATAGTGAAACCACCTCAAAATGTAGTAAGCCTGTGCTAACCTTAGGGCATTTCACTGCTGTGTTAGGCTTTAGCTCAGAGAGAATAAAGTTGCCATTGTACCATTCTCTAGTGCCTGCAGACATACAGCCAGTGATGGAATTGCCACGGGGAAAAGCTCACACAAAACAGAGAAGTGATCATACCTAAAAAAGAAAACATTCACTAATTAGACATTCGAGTTGGGTGAAGCTGAGCAGTAACTGATAGGAAAGATTCCAGCGTTGCCAACTTCCTTTGTAAATCTCCAAGTTCCTTGTGCATCGGAGGAAGGCTTGGGTGGAAGTCTGCTTCATGTGAAAAGACGTTCCTTACCTCTGCCAGCCAGTCAGCGCGATACCTTGGAGCACATCAGCAGGGATGCTGCTTGCTACTTTCAGCCACTGAAGGTGGTTTTTTAAGTGGTGTCCAATAAGTGTTAGAGACTGATTCACTCCTGTGGCGCCCTTAAAAGCGCTAGCAAACCACACCTTGGAGAAGCCACATCTACGATACTTCTCTATAAGAAGCACTGAAATAAGACACAAAAGAATACCTATAGGACACATATTTCTCCAGTTTTCAGCCATGTCTGCAATGTTCCAGTTAACAAGAATTCTGGGCTCTGAACGTTGCTATTAGAAGGAGAGCCGTGAGGTCTACTGGCATGGAAGCAGCTGGGGCGATTCTGCTGGTAATACAAGTGTATTAAATGCATCATACAATTTAATAAGAGGAGGGTAAATCTCCACTCGTCTAAAAAATTAGCTGCTGTTCTTTCATTGTAGGATGTTTGCTGCCTTGAAGGAGTAGTTCAGAAGAATTTTCTCATAATAAGGGCTGCACTCCATCTTCTCCAATTGCGCATCGCTTTCTTTTTTCCCCCCTTCAAGGATTAGCACTGATCAGACTTTTGTTGTTTTTCCCAAAATGGCACACATTGGAAAGTTTTAAAGAAAGCTTAAAATGATAATAAATAATCAGGTATCAGAGCTCTTCCAAGCAGCTTAGAGAAGTACAAACCTTTGCTCTCCACATCCAGGTCTGCAGCATAGTCCCAGATCATAGGCTGCACCAGCTGTGGGACCCCAGATTCTGAAAGGAGCAAAGTTTTATTTTTTTAAGTAATAGAAAAAGGACAGTTACAGGTGAGAAAGAAGTACATGTCAGTCATGCGTTACTGCACCTATAGAACAAGTTATGGCCTGTCACTGAATTCTTCATGCCCACGTGCATTTTCAGCCTTGTCAGGACTTTGAACATGTCAGGGGCATGAATCTATTAGTTTACCTGGCTGCTTGAACTGGTGGAGTTGCAAATGGTACATGCAAGATGTCAGCTAAATTCAAAGGAAATAATCACCCATTAAGTTAGGGATTATCTGCACAGAACTTAGCTTTTCAAGAAGCCCATAATGAAGATGCAAGGTTAGCTTCCCTTTATAATCAGCTCCCTGAGTAGTTTTAAACGTGAGAAATTCTCACCCCTCAACAAGATGCAGTAAACTGAGTACATGAAGTACAACAATAAACAACAAGTGCATAAATTGAGTACTTTAACTGCATCCCATTTTACTCTTGGTCCATTATTGGCTGTGGTGGTAGACTGCACGTAGCTAGATGCTGTGCTTCTTTTGTGGGAATTGCAGGAGTTCTAGTTTTTTGGGGATGATTCCCCACCACAAAAGCTATGAGTAGGTCAATCAGAGCTGGAGGAGCTGTATGGCTCTTCATGATACTGTCTAAATCTGTTCAGAGCAGACATGCAAAATGGAAAAATGTGAAACTCCATTAGAACCATTCTAATTTTAGTAGTAGTTGCATATTTTTCAACATAGGATGCTTGTGACAATACAGTATTGGAGTTCCTCACTAACTGTGTCAACTTTAACATCAAGGACACAGAGCTTCTCTTGAATCTGCATTATAGGAACCAGATACTGTACAAAGTAACAATTAACGTTAGAAGGTGGTGAGAAATGTAGAAATTTAGGAAAAGACTACAGGTTTTTTTTTAAATGGGTAAAGACAGTAGAATTTATGGTGACCACTGTGCAAAATGACTATTAGCAGATAGAAAACTGAACTGTGTACATTGTAAGACTTGCCCAATGTCAAAAAGAAAGTCTGTAGCATTACCGTGGACTGAGTGTCTCCACTTCTTACTCTAATGGACCACATCTCAACTATTCTCAGATCATTCTGTATTGTATTTCAGCTGATAGCAGATCTGTTTCAACTGAATGCATGACCTCTTTTGAAGGCTACCAAACGACTCACCCCATCACAGGTGACACACCTGCCAGTGTTTCCTCGCTGATCCCTCTCAGCATGTCATCCCACACGATGGGAGTCACAGTGGGGTAAGACGAAACCACATAACTTGCAACTGCTTTTATATGGAATAAGCACAGCTTCTCTGGCGTGTTCCCTTGTTGTTGCAGCCATTCCTTGGACTCCTCTCCTTCACCAAGGTAGTAGACCTGAAACATCAAGCAAATAATTCTGACTTCCTGTATGGGAATAGGGGGAACAAATTTGCATCACGCAATCATACAGTATTCACAAACTACGGCACAAACGTAACACACTGAGCAGAAGTATTTCAAAGTGCTTTTCGGTGCTGAAGACATTGTGAGTATTAACCTGCAGGATCTGGCTCTGACTAAACACATCACAGAAGGGCTGCCCAGGGAGGTGGTGGAGTCACCGACCCTGGAGGTGTTCAAGGCACATTTGGATTTAGTGTTGAGGGACACGGTTTAGTGAGAACTATTGGTGATATGTGGACGGTTGGACTGGATGATCTTGAAGGTCTTTTCCAACAGTGGTGATTCTGTGAAGTTTTCTAGAAGAATTAAAATATCTCAGGAATAATTAAGTGCATGGGAACTGTTGAATCACAGCCTGAACCTCTGCTTGACCATCTGAGGCGAGCAAGGAATCAGCCATGGGAGCAGAAGTGAAGGCACCTAGACCCATTTAAGAGCTGACTACCAGGGGGGAAGAATCTTTTCTGGAGATCCCCTCCTTTGGAGTTTCATGGTGAGCCCAGGATATGGGTAAGCATTCTATCTATTCTCTTTCAGTATAATAAAACTGCTTACTGCTTAGCCAAACTCTCTGGTATATTTCGGAATTATAACATCTGTACATTCACTGGTTATACATTAAGGCATACTGTATTTGTCTTTGGAAGGTTTGTCTTGTGAGCTGCTCTCACCAGTCTTAGTTAAAGAAAACTAGCAACCATACGGTCCAGAATTGAATGAAGTGAGATTCCTCTCGCGGAAGGAGATCATTTCTACACAAATCCATAAGTGACGTGGGAGCACGTCCAAAGGTTGGCCCAGCACAGTCAGTCCTACGTAAGCTGCGTATTTGGGCTCATTAAGATGGATACGCTCCGCTGTCACGTCAGCACCCGGCCCGCGCCTCACCTCATCGCAGCCGATGTGGAACCACCTCAGGTCCCGGTGCAGCTCCATGACGCGGTCGATCATGGCTCTGACCAGCGCCAGCGCCTCTTCCTTGTGCGGGTTGAGGGCGTTGGGGAACAGCTTCACCTCACGGAGATGCGCGAATTCCTTGTGCTTCAGCGCGAACTGCGGCGGGACGGGGCGCGGCGATGGGACGGGGAGCCGCGATGGGACGGACCCGTGCGCAGCCCCAGCGGGGGGGCGGGTCGGGGGCCGCTCACCTCCATGTGCCCGAAGCTTTGCACCAGCGGCACCACCTCCAGCCCCAGCTCCGCGGCGCGGCCCAGCAGCTGCCTCAGCTCCGTGCGGCTGCGGAAGGACGCGCTGAGAGCCGCGCCGAGCGCCGAGCCCGCCGCCCCTCCCCGCCGTTACCTGTAGGCGTGCGGCGCGCTCAGCGCCTCCAGCGGCGGCGCGTAGGGAAACGCGTCCTCGTACTCCAGCAGCAGCCCGGTGGCGCCCATCGCGCGGAGCAGCGGCAGCACCTGAGGGGGAGGGGGGGCGGTGGCGGGCGAGCGGGGGGCGCGGGCCGGACCGAGCGCCGCCCCCTCCCCTCTCCCCTCACCTCGGCCAGGTACGCGGCGCGGGGCGGAGCGCCCTTCAGGTCCAGGTGCACCAGGCGCCGCCGCATCTCGTTCGACGGCTCCGGCCGCTCTCGCTCCTCCCCTCGCTCCGCCCCGGCAGTCCGAGCGCGGCGCGTCGAGTGCATCGCTCCGCGGCGATGGCGGCCGTGGCGGCGCGGCGGCGGACGGGCGGCGGGGAGCGGCGGCGGCAGAGCAGGTACGGGGCGGGCGGGAGGAGGGGCGGCGAGGGAGCGAATGGCGGCCGTGCGGTAATGGCCGTGCCGCTCCCCGCAGCGCACGGAGGAACGCGAGTCCGCGGGAGGCGCGCGGCGGGCGGCTGTGGGCCGCGTGCTTCGTCTCCGCCGCTCTCGTCGCGGCCGCCGGCGCCTTCCTGGCGTGGAGCTCCTGGAGCGCTGAGGACGGCGTCGCCGAGGTGTTGGCCGGGCGAGGGGAGACGCTGCTCGACAAGTTCGTGGAGGTGCCGTGCTCCGGGGACTACGACGGCTACCGGAGGTTTGAAGGTATTTGGGGATCCCCGCTCCTGCAGGGAGGCGGAGCGCTGGAGCCGCTCCCCGTGCTCCTCACATAACGCTCTGCTGAGGCTCAGGGGGAGCGGAGTAAACTTTGTGCTACTCCCGAGCAGGAAGAGGCTTCTTCTCGGGAGATGTCTCTTCTTCAAAGCGCTCCTCCTGTGAAAAAGCAGCTCAGCTCTTGTTTCAGCCTGGCTGTGTGTTGAGTGTGAGTGATGAACTGTGCCGTGCTGAGGAAAAAAACAACTTTATTTCCTGGCTTTTTTGAATCACAGAATCATTTAGGTTGGAAATGAGCTCTAAGAGCATCCGGTCCAAACATCGACCTGCCCCACCATACCTGCTAAACTGTATTCCTTGATGCTACAGCCGCCCTCTTCTTGAAAGCTGTTACCCAAATCTGGTTCCTTTTAGCTGTTAGACAAATCCATTCCCTTATCTGCTTTGTTATGTGGCTGACAAAAGCTTACTAAGCTTACTGCAGCTTACTGGGAGCTGCAGTGAGCTGCTTGGAGCAGAGCAGCTCTTCCAGCACTGGTTTGGTGGGAAGCAGCCATCAGCTTGCATCTTGGTTGTACTGCCCCAAGGATGGGAGATGGAGGGGATAACTGCCTGGTCCTGGTGGTGTTGGGCAAAAAACTGGTAACAAGACAGAAGGTGATGCACAGCCTGTGGTCAAAAAAGGCCTTACCAGTGTTCATGTGGTAGGGCTTTGGAGAATTCATCACAGTAGATGTTCTTGAAGCCAAATAAAGCACCTCAGGAACTTCCTCACAAGAGAGCGTCCTCAGTAGGAGGACTTTTTGATTCTGAGCATGAGAATGCACGTGTTCAGTTTTAACTTCCTGCAGTAAGGAAGAATGGCTGCTGGCTGTTCTCTGCTGTTTCAAGGCCAGAGAAATCTATGCAGCCAGTGTTGCTGCAAGTTGGCTCTTCAACTCTGAACTGGGGTTGAATGTATCTGCATTCTGCTACCAGGGCTTTGGTTTATCAAAAAACAAACAAGAAAGCTCACCAAAAAAGTATTCTCCCAATTTCTGGTTTGTTAGAGGAATGTTCTGAGCTGAAGACTTGTGGTCTTGGCAGCCCCAACAGCGTGGAGAAGGCACTTCAAGGATATCTCAGCTGAGGAACGAGCGGATGCGTTCTGTGTTCTTGCAGTGTGGGAGGAGCAAGCGTGCCCTGTCTTGACCGCGTATTAAATGGCTGATGTGGTCGGCATCAAACCCAGGAACGTGCTGGAGGCACCAGGGGGAGTCGCCTTGGATGGGTTTGTATTCAGTGTATTTGCATTCGCTCAATGCCCGTCAGAGGGCGCCCGTGAGCCGTCCGCAGCGCTCGTACTGCACGCGTTACTGGGAGCTTCGGGTGGCCGCACCGCACAGACTGCTGCTCTCTGCCGAACTGCATTCGGCTCCTCAGCTTTAATCGCTTTGTTGGAAACAGCTTTTTATCGCTGAAGAGCTTTTATTCCGTCTTTACTCTGGCGTTGCATCCACAGCTGCTGGTGCTGTGGCAGGAGGCACGCTGCCATTACCCTTTGGTCTGTCCACAGTTCAGATGAGCTTCTTACTTATGCACCTGCTCCCCCCTCAATCCAGTCCAACAGAGCATCTGGTTTTGCTTCGATAGTTAACAGTGGTTGGTGTCACAGAGCCTTATTTCCATAGTACTGCTCAGCAGAAAACTTGCTTCATACAGCTATAAAATGTGCCACAAGTACTAAGTTGATGATGTTTGCGGAAGATGGGGCATGCTGTGAGCAGAATCTGATCCTTGCAGCCAGATCTTCGCTATTTCTGCTCTCTTGAGATATGGTTAATTACTTAAAACTGCTGTGGCTTTCAGCGTGTCTGATGAATCTGTGCATAGTCCTGTGTATGCTGGCATACTCTGTCAGGGTTCAAAGCTTCTGCCACTGCTGAGGCTCTGAGATCCTTTCCCAGAGGTGAGGTCAGTGGATATGGAAAGCAGTTTTAATAGTGGGTCCAACACTGAGATTTCTGGTATTACGACAATATCATCTTGCCCATCTCTTTTCTCTCAAGAGTCATCCCTGTCTTGGCAGTGAACCTCTTTCAAGAATAGGCAAAGCTGGGATATAGGCACCTAGACCCTGGGTCCTGTTACTTTGTATTTTCTGTGTGCTGATTAGGGAGTATTTCTGGTTTTTCAGTGTTGTGTACATTTCTCCTTTACTCTGATTGGAAAAATACAACTCCTGCATTCAAAGCTGAGTAGCTTATTAGATAAGTGATTTGTTTTTGCTAGGCATAGCTTTGTGGAAGCTATTGGGTACTCTGTAATGCTAGCCTATATTCTCATGAGTGCAGATTTTGGAAATATGCTCTTACTGCTTTAGTGCTCCCCCGTGCAGTGGTTTCTTAGACAAAGATGACACATTTCTTAATGCTGAAATTGTTTTCATCAACATGGGTGGTTCTAGTCCTTTCACAGTTTGCATCCAGTGTTCATACCTTGCTTCTGGAACCTGTCTGATTTCATGCTAGACTCTGTTTTTGTTTTTCTTCTCCGGTTGGAAAAGCTTCAGCTGTTTCTTTCAGATACCTCCTGCTTCTAGCATTACCTTTGCTTGTTTTCCTAGCTTAGCAATATGCATGGGAACTGCTGAGCCACAGCCTGAATGAGCACTTGTGGAAAAAACCCAGTCAGCCCTGGGAGCACAGGTGAAGGCAGTTAACACGTGCAGTTGGAAGGGGAGCAGCCTGGCTGCACCTCTCTCAGACCTCATTTGAGGGCTGACCTCTAGCTGGGAAGGTTCTCTTTTTGGAGATCCCTCCTTAGTGAAGCTTTTCCCTGCAAACCCAGAATCTTCTGATACAGGTGAGCCATCTTCCCTTCCTTTATAGCACCTCTCTGTCATGTCAGTCCTGCTGTCATCAGGGCTCTGTTGTCACACCTTTCCCATTGTATTGATACATCCAGTTGCTACACAACGTAACCCTCATCCTCTCTAAAGCTAGCTTTGCTAAATCCTGACTCCAGTACCAGCCTTTCCAGAAGGGTAAGTCCTGCGCTGTTGTTTGCAGCCAGAATTTTAGAGCACAAATCTCTTCTGAAAAAGCAAGTCTTTCTAGTGTCCTTTCTGGGGAGTCATGCAAGGAAGGTTCTGTTTAGATGAGTTGCTGTGGAGCATTGAATTTCTCCTTTGAATTTCCTTTCTGCCACATCTCTCCTTGAACACATGCTTTCCCTTATCTCTAAGAGTTTTCTTTGCCACTCGTGCATTAAAGAGTCCTTTTCAGTGGCACAAGGAAGGTCATTCTGCTCTTTTGTCTCAATCTGTCAAGACAACTTTATTGGTTTTCTATGCTCAGCTTTCTCCTGAGTGTCTTAGAATCTCATTTTTGTGTCAGTCTGTTATCTCAGTCTTTTTTAATCCTGTTTTGTAGCAGAATAATAATAAGAAGTGTACTGCAGCTTTCCGAACTTGTGCCTTATGATTTTGTTGATGTCTTTATACCCATAGAGTTTTAGATAAGGTGTGCAATACGTGGCGTGTGATTTGTGATTGGTGGTAATTATTCTGCATGTCTTTGGTGAATGAATCTTGTGGTTCTTAATGAAATGTCTCATAAGTGTTTTCAGTTCTGGCAGCCTAAATTCGTTCCTTTTTTGGCTGTTTCTGTACATCTGTGAGTGTTGAATTGAAGCTGTTTCTCCCTCAGCCATTTGTCCTGCTCTTATCATGAGTGTTTGCTAGCGTGGAGGCACAGATGTCTCATCATTCAGCTTCTGAGATGCTTTCATGCTGGCGTTCAAAAGTGAAGAGCCAATTTTTAACCTACGCATACGATGGAGCCTTTATGGGCTTTAGGAGGGATGAGAAATAGTTGGCATTGTTTACTGGCTGCTACTTTTTCCCATTCGTGACTGCTAGGTTATATGCTACAAAGGAACATAGCATTTCCAGTTTAATTGGCAAACGGTCAGTGCCTGGGATTGAGAGACTGAAAAAGCTCAGGATTTCCATGAGAACATGGTCCTGCTTTTCTGACTGCAGAGGGAGGGGATAATTACAATTCTCCTCAAACACAGCATAGAATTCACCCTCTCTTCCTCCCCCCCTCTAATTCATAACTTAGCACAACTTTTCCACCTGGAAAGCCCTTGTCAGTTGAATTCTATGCTTCTGGGGCTGTGGTGCAAAGTGCTGTTTTCAAATTCGTGAAGCACCTTCAGGTTGCTGATTGAATTTTTGCATTTTTAAGTGTTTTGGTTTTTTTTTTCCTCTCCTGCACACTTCTGTTTCTGAAGAATGGTGTGTTTTGATTCTGCTGCTGTTCACAGTGTCAAAAGGAGAAAAGTGAGCTTGGGGTTCTGGTTCATTTTTGTTATAATGTTGGGTTCTGTGCTGGCCTTGCAGTACGGGTGGTTCACATTGTAACCTCTTAACATTTTTATCTGCTGCTTTCGTAGATCATCTTCAAATAATTCAGCACATGCCTCCTGGAATTTGGCTCTTGAGCTGATCTCAGTGAGTTGTTGCTGGTAGTCAGAAAACAGGCAGAATTGTTTGGGTTGCAGAAGGCAAATCCAGGTAGGAAACCAAGTGGGTTACATTTTCACCCCAGTGGTTTAGAAGGAAAAATTGCTTTTCAGAATAGTTGGGTTCTCAGGTGTTTGCTGGGAATGCCCTCAGTGCCTCCAGTTTAAATACACATCCAATAAGTGGCTTTTTCAAGTGTGCAGTTGGTACATGTTGTCAGCCTCAGGTTTTGCACCCACATCTCCTCTCTTCTCTTTCTTCTCAAGGTGCTGCTGTAGTTGCAGGGTTTTGCAGTGTTGAAGCAGCCAAGGCATCCAGTACGCCAGTGTGCAGCCCTGCAGAGCACTTGTACTGTGGCAAGATTTCTTTTTGTCACTGTGCTCATTGTTATCATCAGATGCTTTTGATCAGAGCAGACTGACACTTTTGCCTTGCACGGATGAATGCGATTCTTTTCCTCTTGCAGCAGTGCTTTGTACCCTCTCCTTTGTTCCGAGGAACAAATAATCTGTGAAGAGGAGCTCAGCAACAGAAAAGTGTGTTGGCAAATGTCAGAAAATGGCTTCATTCACATTCTTCCATAACTTTACATCTGTAAATGGAGTTTCCCTGGGAAAATGTCTAATGCAGCATCCCAAGGTCTGTATTGACTTGGACCTGATTTTGTTTCTTGTTCTTGCCCAAAGGCTGTTGTGCATCAGACTTGTAGTTTTAAAAGAAATTTCATATATTCTTCACTCCTCTTACTGCCGATCCTTTTCCGTGAGCTTGTAATATTAAATGCCAGGTCGTTCTGTAGTGAATTTTAAGTGAATTCTTTTATTGTAGGTCCTAATGCTTTTGGCTATGACACCTTTTAATGCAAGATCCATTATAAAAAATTGTCCTTTGAGGTCTGTTTGTAGAGACATTCAGAATGTGATTTGCCCCCTTGACTCTCCCTTTTGAGAGTGGTGTGTATCCCTGTCCATTATCTGAATGCTTGCTTACACTATGAAGAACTCTTTGTAGGTGTTTGCTATTAAGTGGTTTCAGTTGCTAGAAGTGCTGCTCGATTTTGAACTGTGAGCCTGAGATGAAGGGATCCATGTGGTTCTTCTGAACTCCCTGGCTCTTGCCCTGCCTGTCTGAAGGCTAGAACAGAGCAGGTAAGGGGAAATCACTGAAGATCATCTTCCTGAGACCAGTTATGTAATTAAGAACACTTGTCTGCATCTAGGTGCAGCAGTACATTTTGCCCTTCTTCCCATCTGTCTTTTTACATGTACGTATGTACAGATGTCTCCAGCACAGCCTGACTAACCAAGGGGCATCTTTGGCTCCAAGTGCTAGATATGCTCAGCAGCATCAGTAAGTCTGTTTTAATCCTACACTGGGATTTTGATAAAAATATTCTGTGTCTCCTGATGTAACTTTTGACTCTTGTGGATCTGAAAGGGGAGTAGGAGGACATCATGGGGATTTGGTTGGGAGCTTTTTGGGAAGGTGGTCTTTCATTTTGTGTTTCAGGGTGCACTCCCAGGAGGTGTGGAAGAGGTGTGAGTGATGCAGTGATCACCAGGGAGGAAGCAGAAAGAATCCGTAGGTAATTCTCCTTAAATTTCTATCTGCCATGCTGACAGTGAGCCCCAGTTCAGGTGTAACAGAAAGCTTGCAAGCTGAAGGGGGGTGACTTAAACTGATTAATGCATTAAACTTGTGTGTATCTTATTAAAAGCTACTTTGCACTGCTGTTGTAGCGGAGGCTTTTTGATACAGAGTCTGCATGGCCATGTGGGCATATGGGTTGTAGGGAAAAGAAAACAGAATTCTCTGCACTAAATAAATGTTGAACAATTTTGTTCTGTTGTTCCAGTTTACCTTCAGAAATTAAACCAAACAATAAAACCAAACATAAATCTCCTTTCAGACGAGTTGCTTTCTGGGTGGCTACGACCTGGTGCTGACCCTGTAGTTCTCTGAGCGCAGTGATCAATTTTAATCAAATAGCCTGGGACTGTCAAAGCCTGTAATTAGAAAATCTGTGGTGGTTTTTCTATTTGCTTGTTTTGTTTAATTTTGGCCAGACTGAATCTGAAAGCCAGGGTTGTGGGGTTTTTTAGTGAAGGTGCTTATGGTCTTGTATGTAAGGGCTGTTCCTGTCCAGAAATGTTCTGCAACGTGTAGATACTTTATTTTCATGACTAAGTGCATAATTCAGGGTTTCAAATAAAAGGTAGCTTCTCTTTTTTTACTTAACTGGGTTGTATTTGATGCAGTAAATAACTCTTACTGGAAAGCTGTGTGTTTTATATAATGACATTAAAGGACAAAGTAATCAAGCCTTCAGTTCTCATCTGAGGTTGTTGTTTTGCCTGCAGAATAGCAGAGAGGGGACTGTCCTTGGGAGGATCAGATGGAGGGGTGAGCAGTGTCCTCTTAATTTTTACATTCTCTTACTTCCAAGGAGAGCTTTAAGATTAAAAGGAGAAGATAACGGATTTGGGGAAATTGTCTGGGAATTTATTTTCTATCCTGTTAATGCTTTTGCTAGCACTATAATCGACTTCTCCAGTACAGCTGACACATTTCCTATTAAGTTAATATTTCTAGTGCCTCTCTTGGTCTGGTTTCGTCTTCTGCAGCTGGAGCCAGCTGCTAAAGCAGAATACACCAAGTTTGATTTCTTTCCTTTTTGAGAAACCAAATCACAGTGGTTCACAGCTATCACATACAGGCTGATTTTTGTGTAAACTCCATGTAATGTCTTCAGCAGAACTCTGAATTATGTTCTTTAAATGTGGAAAAAACCTCCACCTTTTTCTCTGCATTTTTTCCCTCTGTTCTCAGTTTGTTTTTGTGTATGAACAGATATTGTTTCTTGAGTATTTGTAAACATAAGCACTTCTTTGGGCCTCTGCTGAATTGGGACATTTGTTGGAAGAAAAGGAGGAAAGTTGTGATGGAAGGGAAAAACAAAACAAAAAAAAAAGACTTTTTAAAATTGTCCTTGGGACTGCTTAAGAAGATCTGCAAAAAACATTTTGGGAGCTTTTAAAGGGGAGGAGAAATGGGGGAAAATGACTCTTTGGTAATAAAATTTTGTTGGTCTCAGAACTCTGTAGGCTGTGATCCTCTCAGGTTCCTTGCAGTGTGTGAATGTGAGAAAGCTGTTGCATGCTGTGACTCCTTAGGGAAAGGTACAAAAGGAGCTGTGTAGTGTTGCATTGAAACCTCACCCAGAACTGTGGGTGGGCACTGAAAGATGCTGAAGAGATGAGCTGAAAAGCATTTCTAGAGGATAATGTTCAGGACAGCCCTTTGAATGTAGTCCTTCACCTAAATTTTCTTAGCCTTTGCTTTTTTTGTTGTTTTTTTTTTCCATTCTGCATTTTTTTCTTTCTTGGATTCCTGATGTGAATCTGCTCCTGATATTGCAATCTTGGCTCCCAGATCTCATTAAATAATGACTGTTTTCTGCTGATGATGTGTAGATAAAACTTCTTTCTTCACTGAAGCTTGTTGTCCTCTTTTCAAACCTCTGGTCTATGTAGCATACAAAATGCTTCAGCTCTCATTCCATCTGGCCACCTTACTCTGCCTTATGAGCTGCAAGTCTGTTGACTGAGATCTGCCACTTTGCTTTACGTGTCTGAGACTTCAAAGTCCATCCAATTATGTTCATTGTTCTAAGACTAAATTTTTCCTTAAAAATTCTTTCAATAATTCTTCTTTTTGATTCTTTTTAATTCTTTCTTTAGTCAACTTTATCTCCGTATTTCCAAGCTTCAAATTCCTGCTGTGGGGCAGACTATTTTCATTCTGATTTACTCCTATTTTAAATAGCATCTTTGCTTGTCATATTTGTATTTTGAGTTCACAGAAATAGATTTGTTTGTGTCGCTGTAAGTTAATAATTTAAAAAGCTAAACTTGTAACTCTGTCAGTTCTCTTCCTGTTTGCAGTCCTTTCTGCTTCCTTGGGGGACTGAAGGTTCACACAGAAACTTGTGTCCTTCTCCATACTTTTGTTTTGAGAAGATTCTGTCTGACACTGAATTACTGAAGTGTCCCAGGAGTCATACCCCAGTTGCTGTGCTGAACTTTCTGCCCCATGTTCTGTTATAGCTGCTCCTAGATCAGTGTATTTGCCCACATGCCCATTCATGTGCATGCACACACTGAAGCTGGAAGAGGAGGTGTAATTTTCTGGTCTGACTTCCAGCAGAATCTAAACAGAGGCACCTTCTGCATCACTGTCCTGCTTTCCCTTGTAGGTCTCTGCAAAATAACTTTTTTTTTTTCTGTGTTCTTTCTCTTTCTAGAATGTAATTTCTGCTAGTTCTCCTGGTGTTATTCAACTTTTTTTCCCCATCTTAATAAGGCTAATGGCCTTTCTTTCTTCTCCACCCAATATTTTCTTGCATGCGATCCCTGCTTACGTTACTTGTTCTGACGGCAGCACCTCCAAAGATGTGAGTGAGTCAAACATCTCTCCAGCATAAATGAAACTTGACTCATTTACTATCAAAGCTATTGGCACTTTGAAGCCAGGGAAAAGAAACCCCAGGTGCAGTCAGCTGAGGTGCTCCATTTCCTATGCTGCTGCAAATTGACGTTAGTAGCTTCCTAAACCTCCTTCTTGTAGGGAAAACTGTGCTTCTCATGACTGAAAGAAGCAAACAGCGTGTGGCCATGATGCCAAACAAGGGTTTCTGATGTGGGCACACGCACCCATGCACAGTATGGTATTTCTGCAGGTAATATCATTCCTGCTTTCAGCCCTTCTTACCAAATCCTAGAGTCCTTAAAATGCTGTCCTGATTTTTTTCTGGGGAAAAGATAAAGCCTCTGCATGGTATTTATCTTATCTCATACATCTGCTACGTCAGACCCCATAATTTCCTTCTTTCTTGCCTAGCTACCAGCAGGCACTTTGGGACAGCTGTCAGTTTGTACCTGGCAGCGTGCCTTGCCCTTGAGGTAGGGAAATGGATCCTTTTTGCCATGTGCTGGAAAAAGGGGGCTGTTGATGTGGCCTTCTTGAATCTTTTTTGTAGTGAGAGGAGTGGAAATTGTGATACTAACAACACTTAAGTTCCAAAAGAACTTTCCTTTCCTTTTTTCTTAAAAGGAAGTTCAATTTCTTCTCTTTAGCACTTCTGTTAAACCGTATCTCATAAATAGATCATATCATAGAATCATTAAGTTTGGGAAAGACCTCCAGGATCATCTAGTGAGCTGTCAATCATGAGTACATGTGGATACGTTTGCATTGCTCCTGCCATCTTTAGATGAACTTTGCAGAGCTTTCTGCCTGGGAGCATTGATCTGAAGTACAGACTAATGAAACTTGGTCAGCCAGCTGAACTGTAAGCAGTGGTGTTGACACACTCCTCTATGTGGTGTTCTTCTGAGTATTAAAAATGGTACTGAAAATATTGGATGCTCTGGAATGGCAGAGGCTAAATTAAATGTTTCAGCTTCTTTTCCAGTTAGCTATTAAAGAAATTGCTCTGTGTTCGTAATCAAGTCCTTGCCTATGTCTTTCAGTTATTTTTTCCTCCTGTTTGAAACAACCCTGAGGAATATTCTCTTATCGTTTTCAGTCTTCTTTGTCTGACTTTGCATTGTGGTTATTGCCTTCTCAGCTATGAATGTCACCACTTCCTGGGAGCATGTACCTGTACTTCTTGTATTGATCCACTTGACTGTTTTGGTCTCTACCACAAAGCTGTGATCATCTGCAGTGTGTGGAACGTGTGCTGGAAGTATTTGGAAAGCAATTTGTTCTTAAATTAAACTTATGTTTCAGATACGTCCTGCTACTTCCCCTTATAATCTACCTTGGCATGGCTACAAGCGTATTTTTGAAGCTACAAGGAAGCAGTTTTGCTTGTTCCAGCTGTAACTTAGATTATTGTACAGAACCAGAAACCAATGAAATGAAAATACGTTACTTCTGAAGCTAATGCTCATCCTAGAGCAGCTCTTGCAGAAAGGTGACTTGTTTCTTAAACAGTCCTCTGCAGTCTTTAAAGCACTTCTGTGAGAAGCAGAAGTCTGAAAAACTCATGTCTGTTTCAGTAGCCTGTTACTTTATATATTCTTAAAAGTTTGGGAATAAATTTGGGTGGATGTACTGAAGTAAGTTTGTTACCTCTTTTTAAATAGAGACTTTAGTGGAGCTCCCATCTCGGCTCTGAAGCTGAAAGCGGTTGAGCCTCCAGTGATTTTTCTCTTGTTTGGATTGGCGTGGGTGTCCTCCCAAATGTGATCCAGAGGAGAGAGAGAAGTGTGCCGGCACTTGGGGTGTAGGGGGTGTTTGAAACTGTACTGCTGGCTGCCACTGCAGCTCTGTGTCACTGTGCTGCCGTGCATTCACCAGCCTGTCTTTAATTTGGTTAAAATAAAAAGTGGTTTCTGTCCCAGCTATGCCCAGAAATCCTGCTGGTAAGATGGGAGTTATCACTCTTTCCAGGCAGCTCACCTGTGGATGGTACGTGGTGCATCAGGAAATGCCAGATTCCAGGATGAGAATGCTTTTTCCAGGATATTGTACCTCAGAGATGCTGTATTAATGTTGGTGGCAGTCAGGCTAATCCACTGCTGCTGCTTGATGTTTTCAGTGAAGGAAGGAATGCTGCTTTTAAGTGAGCATATTTTTAATTGCTATTTAAATTATGGGGAAAAAACATGTATTTTCTGGACAGCAAGGGACGTACAAGAGTGTTCTTCATTCAGTTTAGGAAAATATAGAGCTAGCTTTTTATCATAGCAAATGTGAATACTGACCTTTTTAAATTGGTCTGGAGCTCAACAGTAGCGTTTGGCTTGAGTCAAATGGAGAAATGGATTTATTTATTTATTTCCAGATATAAGATCTTTTCACTCTTTAGTTTTTTCTTACAGTTTGCAGCAGTTTAGAAATTGGAATAACAGAGTGGCTCTGGCAAACCTTAGAATTGTAATTGTTCTTTAGAGCAAACTTTTCTGTTTTAAATACAAGAAGTACACAGCAACACATGGTGAAGAAATCTTAATAACAAATGTTGGGCAGGTTAAATATTAGTGTTGCTATTTGAGCACTTAATAAATATGGGAAAATGTGAAAGGGGAATGTCTTTAAGACTGGTCCAGGAACACAGTGTCTCACCCTGGGGAGGAAGGCTCTGTCAATTCTGTATGCTGGATTTGGATCTCTGTGCTTTATCCATATGGTGCCTTAATCTTATGGTCATTTATAGAACAAACTGGAGGAGGCTTGCAGTTGTAAAATAAGCATTAATATTTTGGATGTGAAGCTAGAAACTAATACTTTGACTTGGGAGGGTATGGCAAGTGAAAGCCAACAAGACGATTATTAAAGTTTGTTAAATAATAAAACCTTCTCAGACTCCTTTTTTTTTTTTTTTTTCCTTTCCCAGGCATCAATTTTGGACTTGCACTCTGGAGCTCTTTCACTAGGGAAGCAATTTGTTAATCTGTACAGGTAATGTGACCCTTTGACTTGCTGTCACTCCTGTAATCCTGCACCTTCAGTATTCAGTCCACTGGGCTGGAAGATTTAGCATTGCCAGCTGTAGAATTGCTTAGATTTACCACAGTTTTCCACAGCTAGTTGAAAAGCTGCTGTGGTGGAAAACCAGCATTATCTTTTGTTAAACTGGACTTACTGAAAGCTACTCTTCAGCAGGTAGTTTGGGGGAATTCTTATGGTGTTTTTTCTCTCCCCACTTCCACACTTACAGTCCGTAGTTGATCAGCAGTAAGAGAAATCAAGTAGACTGGAATAGTGTTTAAAAAAAGCTTGAATCCACGTGCTTATTTCATGTGGGAGGGGACGTTTTTCATGCCTTGGGAATTCCATTATCAGTTGCTGTATCTTGATCCTTTAATCTTTTAACATTGGATCTTTGAGCAATGCTTTGGAAATTTCACACTCAAGCATTTGTTGGATTTTAGTATCGTCTCTATACGTGGGCTATTAGTAAAGCACAAATGGGCAGAGAATACAGCATGGTTTATTGGGCAGTCTGATTCAGTACCAGCTATTTTAAATTTTTATTTGATTTCTCAGGTTCTTTGGGGACAAAATTCAAGACATCTTCACAGAAGAGGATTTTGCATTATATCGGTAAGAAAAAATTCAATGACTGCTGAATGAACTACAAAACCTGGTATTTTTTTGTATAGTGTAAGCTGGGGATGCTTATCCTTTGTGATGGGTTCAGACATGGAATTGAACTCAAAGCTCAGAATAGAATCACTGAGAACTAAGATGTTTGAAGTTCAAAACAGCAGATGTTGTTTAGTTGTATCATCGATGTCAGGCTGGTATTGATGGTGTAAGTGGAATCAGATGGTGGCAGCACTGCATTTCTCTTCCTGCATAAGGGCATGATGGCTGAAGCCCAGTTCCAGACCTGCAAGCAAATAGAGCTGTTTGCCTGAGTTCTCAGATCATATTATCTGAGCTGTAATCTATTTTATCACTAACTCCTGTTTGACGTCTGTTATCACCAACCATGATGTCTCTTGGATAAAGACAGTCCTATACTACTGTCAGAATAGGAGCATTGGTTTTTTTACTGGGGGGTGAAGTGTAGGAAAGCATTAAAAACGATGAAGCAGGAAGTGGAAGGACTTCAAATTACTTCCTGGGAAGCAGAGCATGCTTTCCTCCCAAAGAAGCCAGGATATGAAATGTGCTATAATGTAACAGCTTTGGCATCTGATGCTTTCAGCTTTCCTGTAGACCTGCTCATCCACTTAATGGAGAGAAAAACCTAGTGAGTTCCATGTGTCTGTGAAAGTGTGTTGCCAAAGCTTAGGAGCAAACATTCTTTAATTGATTAGACACAATAAATCTTCAGTTAAGCATTTGAGTTGCTTTCTCATAATTTAAAATGTGCCCGGCTTGAACTTTTAGTCTAATTTTAATGATTTTCTGCTTTTTTTTGGTCATGTTTTCTTGTCTATATGAAGGAATTTGACCTCCCTCTAGTGGCAGAAAGAGAACTAAGTATTCAAATACGTTAATTGATATGTTCCATTTAGACAGCATATGTTATTATTAACAACTGAAATTTTATTATTTGACCCAATGTTTTTTGATATTGCTATCACTGTTGATGACATGTACTTCTGCCCTCAAACACATCACAAACACATTATGCTTTTTATTACAATTGATTTTAGAAGGTATCAATTGTCTGCCTCACAAGACAGTGGGGAATAATTTGCAAGTAATTTGTGCTGCCTTCTGTTCTGTAGAAGATCAAAGAATCTGTAAAAATAACAGAAGTGAATGGGCAGGAGGTGTCCTGAGCAGCAATTCATGCTAGTTTCTGACCCCTGCTTTCTGGGATGAGAGTTCTGCTAGAGAACATCAATACTACATTGGTGTTGCATGCTGATAAAGGAGATATTTCAGTCACAACCCATATAGAATGCTTTTGTTCATACTAATGGCAATGCTTTAATACAGACTGCAGTGCATTATGTCCTAATGAATGATTTTATGCTATTCTTGGGAGTGTTTTATCTTTGTTACTTTCGTTCACCTACTAAGGTCTGTTTAGAAATACACTCCTGAGAGAAATAACTGGATGTAATTCATGTCTGAGTATTGCTGATTACAACAATAACAAATCTGAGTAGGCATTTGAGCCAGGAAGCTGGTTTCTAAACTATTTGTGTCAGAATTATGTTGTTTTATAAGCTAATACAGTTTCAAAGCTGATGCTTTTTCTCCTGTCTGCCAAGCATATTGCAGCAGTTCCTCCTGTTTCATGTAATAGGTGCATCTTTATCCAGAAGTAAGACCTTCAAATCTGTGTGCTTGTTTTTAAGGTTGTGACTTCAGCAAAAAAAAGTACCATCAAAGCTTTATTCCAGAAACTTCTCAACTTGTTAAGGCACAGGCACAGAATGAGCAGAGGAGAACTAACAGCTTGCTTTCTGCCTTTATTCATTGTTCATGTGTGATTGCTGTTGAAACTTTCTGGATATAGAGGAGCGTGGCTTTGTCTCCTTCTGCTGTCTTCGGTGCTTTTCACTGCGAGCAGTGCAGAGATACTGACAGTGAGCTAGAGAAGCTGAGTGGTGTCATAGAGCTTTGTGCTGAAACTCTCACTGTGCACAGTGCCTCTAACAGCATATATAGATATATATATATATTTTTTTTTTTTGCTGGTCTGAGAGCTTATATCTTTGAGAAATTTTTGTTTGACACTTGGTTCTTTTTCTCAGTCCTTTATGTGGCTGCTGCTGCATTAAGCTGGAAACTGCAGCCTAGTGCCTACATAACTTTTTTTGGTCTCACTTCATATTATTAGAAAGTGTGTATTAAACTCCCTATGTAGAAAGCTGGCGGAACTAGGAATTTCCTGGAGTTTCTGTGCATTTCTGGTGGTACAGTATGTGCTCAAGAAGGAAGAAGCATTTAGGCACTCAAAGGTACGTTGCTGCTTGGGGCTTTTTTCCAGCAAGTCTTTGCAGCATGAGTTGCTTGTTTGAGTATCAGTGGAAATCTGCAGTTCACTCAGTATTTGAAGGCAGCAGCACACAGGGGAAGGGGAGGCCACCAGGGTGCTCTGTGCCTGGAGACCTGGCTATTGCTGTGTCAGCTGGAGGCAGGTGCTGCCACAAGACCAGGTTAAAGTTTGAATCTCTGCTTCGACCTTCACCTTACCTGCTTTGTTATTATCTCCCCATTCACTATTTTCCTTGTCTACTTGAATTTGTTTCTTATTTATGTTATCTTTTGAAAAACGTGCTTATTTTCTCTGTGCAACATACTTTGACTAATAAGTTTTTCCTTCTCTTTGATATGATCCAAACCAGCTAGACTTCTCTGTGTGTCAGGAAGCAGAGCTTTTTCTGCTTGGTTTGCAAAACTTACAGTCTTGCCTGAAGCCATTGCACAGATGTCTCAAGGAGGAATGCAGCTTTAGCAGAGCCTTATGAACACAGAACAGCAAATCTTCATAGAAAGTTTTAGAAAGTAGGAAAGGAATCAACCCAAAAGAGGAAGCAGCATTGCTTTGGGAGCGATACGACTGTTGGAGATTTAAAGTTGTGTCAGGACTGTGGCTCAGCTAACTCAGAGTTGGTTCCAGCTGGCTGGTGCAGCCAGCTGCCATACAGCTTGGGAATGGGCTCCTTCACTGTGGGTTAGGCTGTTAATTCCTGTGGTGGGCTGCTCAGAGTTCAAGCTGCCTTCGAGTTGTGGTGAAGTGAGTAACTGCATCTAATGCTTTTGGCAAGCATAAGGCAGCCTCCTTCCTATTTCTAGGAAGGCAGGCAGATAGACCAGGCACCCACAGGCATGAGGGGAGAAGGGGTGGTGGTCTGTAGATCCTTTCTTGGTGTTACTTTTACAAAACATGGCTGTTATGTAGCTTGCAACTTGAAGCATCAGTTCATGCAGTCATGTAAATAGCTGATAATCTCATCTCTAGCTTCATTTCATGGCTTTCATATTTCACATCTAAAATAGCTGGAATTGACTGCTGAAAACTTAAATCCAGTTACAATCCAGTAGAGAAATGTCTAACGCAGGGAAGATGCAGAACTAGTGATGAAATTCCATTCAGAATTTCAGAGGGATGTGTGCTCCAAGTGTCTGGCTTTGGTGCTGCTTTTGAAGCCCTCGAAGGAAGAAAAAGACAACTCGTACAGTAGCTAAGAGTGTGTTAAACGGGGAGAAAACTGTATCTAAAGAGGAAACAGAGGATTAAGCCTTGAGAACACTTCAAAAAATGTGTTACTGTGTTCTTTGTAGTTTGTTGCTTTTTAATTTCCTCAAGATCAAATACTAGCTGCGTGTGTTTATTGTGGGATTTTTCCAGTGATCCCTATGAGTCACAGGAATCTTGAAGTATCATAGACTGAACTGAAGCTGGGGCACCTTGTGCTAGCTCTGTGTGCCCTTGTCTGTCCTGAAAGACAGCATAGGATGCTGCTGTATAAGCAGTTCTGTACAGTTAAAAATGCTTGCTTCCTTGTGTTCTTTGTTATCTTAAAAAAAAAAAAAAAAAAAAAAAAGCAAAATCTTGCTCTTTTTCTTGGCAAGCACAGGAATAGCCAATGTAGACACACTGTGGCTGGAACTTTCAGAATAATTAAGGAAAACATCTTGCATTCATTTTTAAAGAAAATCTGGATACAATATCAATGCATATGTTGGCCTCAGACCTTGAGTTTCATAGAGCCTGAGACTCCTTTGGGCTAGTTTGGAATTATTTGAAGGACGACTGAAGGCTTGTCTCACAAGACAACACTACAAACATGCTCATTTCCAGTCATCTGCTTTGGATTAAAAATATGCAAGTAAGATACTTTTTAATTTTTGGTAGTTCATAAACACTGCAATATGCATGGAATTTCTTAGAAAACAGACTGCTTACACTAATCATAAAATGTGGACCACAGGAGACAAAACCAACAGAAAACTGCAGATTCTGTCTTTTTTTGATGTAGTAAGTCTCTATTGTTGAAGGCAAAATAAACTGGGAAAGTGGGATATACAGTCACAGTCTGAGGAAGATGCTTAGCTCTGAGGAAGCAGTAACAGTGAATGAAGAAGCACAGAGAAGAAACAGGAGAGATGTGTCACTGTTTAGATGGGGCCTCAGCACTGTTCCAACCCTCAGTCTGCTGCGTTCTGTTCTTTGCAGTGATGTGAGACAGAGAATTCAACAGAAGATTGCTGAGACCTTTGGTATCAGCTCTTCTTCCATGTACCTGACTAAGCCAACATTCTTCTCTAGAATAAACAGTACAGAAGCCAAGACAACACATGATGAATACTGGCACCCACACGTTGACAAGGTAAGTAGGAGGCTTTAATGGGATGCAAATGTTCTGTGCTATTGTTAGATCACTTTAAAGTTATTTTGCATTAAACATTTAAGCATACTTGAGAACTCATGCTTGTAAAAAAAAAAATAAATAAATCTTCAGATGAGGAACAAAAGGAAAGATGAGCAAATTCTAGAAGCCAATCCAAGACAATTTTTCTGCAGTGGGGACATGGTGCCCTATTAGCAATTTAATGTTTTGTTGTTGGATTTTTTTTTTTTTAGAGTGGCAATACCACGACTTTCTTTTCACTGTCTAGTTTTCTGTTTCTAGGTTCATGGCTTAATACTTCAGGCTTTTCAATGGTCTTATGTGATTTACAATTGATAGTAAGGTGTTGGTGCTTTAAACTGAATTCAGAGGCTCTGTGCAACCTGGATTTTGTGTTCTGTTTAAAATAAAGTAGACAAAATCATATTGTTGAGTTTTAAAAGTTGCCTAAGATGGAACCAAACAGGACTTAGCCCATCAAAATCTAAGTTACACCTCAGTGCTATAGTCTGTGTATGGTAGTGTACCTTGAAGTCGATGACCTGAAACATCTAAGATTAAAAAACAAAAAAACAAAAACAAAACAGTAGTGAAACCTCCTACCTTGAAAGTGATGAGAGAATCTAGAGGGAGCACATCTGTTGTTGCTCACCACACCAGCACATGCTTCTGCACTCTTTTGTGATGTTGGTGGAAGCAACTTAGGTTTAGAAAACACGATGAGAGAGAAGCTGCGGGTGCCTTGTCTGAGGAGGTGCCCAGGGCTGGGTTGGATTGGCCCTGGGTACCCTGAGCTGGTGAGGGACAGCCAGCCCATGGAGGGGTTGGGATTGCGAGGGCTTTAATGTCCTTTCCAACCTAAGCCACTTTATGAATGATAATGCAGGTGCTATTTGAAAGAGGTGAGGCAATGGGATTGTGCAGTCACTGGTGCAGAGAAGCTAACACCAGCTTCTAGATGCTTTTTGTTTAAAAAGTGTGACTAAGATGAGCAGGGGGCTGGAGCACCTCCCCTATGAGGACAGGCTGAGGGAGTTGGGCTTGTTCAGCCTGGAGAAGAGAAGGCTGCGGGGTGACCTCATTGCAGCCTATCAATACCTGAAGGGAACCTACACCCAGGAGGGGAGTAAACTCTTCAAAAGGGCTGATAACAGCAGGACTAGGGGAAATGGATCCAAGTTGAGGGAGGGAAGATTTAGGTTGGATGTTAGGGGGAAGTTCTTCACAAGGAGAGTGGTTAGGCCCTGGAACGGGCTGCCCAGGGAGGTTGTGGATGCCCCGTCCTTGGACGTGTTCAAGGCCAGGTTGGACGGGGTCCTGGGCAACCTGATCTGAATGTGTGCGTTCAGGTGGCCCTGCTGGGCAGGGGGGTTGGAACTACATGATCCTTGAGGTCCCTTCCAACCCGGGTGATTCTGTGTTTCTGTGAAAAAGCCGTGACTTCTGTTTACCAGATCGTAGCTTTCAGAAAAAATTACTGTATGTTGAATATGTATGTCTGCATGTGATTTTAATCTACTAGATTCACAAATATATCTCTGTATAAGTCTGTGTACATGTGGTGTGTGTCTGTACAATGTGCATCTATATTGTGTATTTAGAGGTTAACAAAATAGGTGTAGCTGCTATGGCTATATGGCATTGATATTCAAAGCTATGCAGGAGATTGTATTCCAACAGGTGGGTCAGAAAATATTTCACAGAAGGCTAAATGGGGCAGACAAGTTGTGTAGTTCCACAGTGTGTTTTCAGTGCGATCAGCCTGCCTGGTGTTTTGATTTTTGCAGCTGAGAAAGCAAACTGGAGCATGTGAGCACATTTTACCTTTTTTCTCTGAGCTGCTGAGTATCCTGCAATTACAATTCTCCATCTCAGTATCCTTGGTTTGAAAGATTTTAAGTGCATAATGGAACAGCACAGTTCTATTATGTGTGTTGAGGCTTTAGATTTATTTTTTTTTCCCCTCTAAAATTAATTGGTTTTTAGTTACATGGAATGGAAACCCAAATGAATCATTTAATCTTGTTGACTTTACAGGTAAGGTAAATCAAATAGAGTGTTGGCTGAAGATGTGGAGCTTCATCTTGGATGGGATTTGTTTGGAGCTGAACCTTTCCAAAGTCAAATATCTGATTTATAATGGAATTGCTGTTGCATGCTCAACCCTGACAGCACAGTAGTCTTATAATGTTCTCTAAGAGATGTGGAACTAGATGAATTCTGCAGTCCCATGGGCAAGGATTCTGTCATCCTTCACAGACTTGTCGATCTCTATCATAAAATCAGGCTTATTTTATTTTCCCTTGAATTTCTTCTATTGAAGAAGCTATTCTGGGATTTCAGTGCATATTTTCACTAATTTTTAGCTTGAACTTCTTCATGATCAGTTCACACTTATTTTGGTCTGTATGGACCCTCTTAATCAGTCTTGTTCCTCTCCCTTCTCCCAGTTCCACCTTCTCTCATCCCTGTGTAGGCAGCAATCACAGTCTTTTCAGCCTTTCTCCCAAGTTAAACAAGCCAAACCTTACACTAACTGGAGTTTTTGTAGCAGAAGCAACGAGGGTTAAAATAGCTTTTGCAAATCTAGTTGTGGGAGTAGGGCTGTAGAATGGCTGTTCAGAGGTGCTGCAGTGGCACATTTACTGCTTTATATTGCTAACAAGGTTTGGGTAAAACAGGGACAAGAGTATCACCAAAATGTTCTTCATTCTTGTGACTTGGACTGCTTATTGCTGCATTTGGCACTTTTCTTTAAGCCGTTATGGTCAAAATAACAAAATGAGTAAGAATGAAAATGTCTTCCTATGCCATCTGTTGCTGTGTTCTCTGTAGTCGTTGCCCTTACGGAATAATTTGTGCAGCTGATGTTGAGCTAAAATATGACTGGCAGTAATGAGTGTAACTTCAAAAAATAAAAAATGTTTAGGGAATTTCTAAGCCTAGAAATAGCACCTACCTCTAGCAGTCACCAGATCAGACAAAACAGTGTGCTGATGATGTATATTTATACAGTACTGCTGCTCTGCGCATTTCCCTGTTTGATGGTGTAATTCAGAACTTGACTGAGCTGTGATACACTGTAAAGACATTTGAGAATACAGCAGTTTACTTTTAAGTATCTTTTAAATTGTAGATGGTATAGATACAAAAAGAAAATACATTTGGAAGCCAGCTAAACTCAGTGGTAATGCGTGGAGAGAAGCTACTAATATATAGCATTTCTCTTCCCCACCTTCAGCCTGCATAGTGATCAAAATACATAAATAATACTTTAACAGGAATGAAAGTCATTCTGTTATACTTAGAAATGGTTTTTTTGGTCTGTAGGCTGAGAGGATGCAGGGACTTTGAAAGCTATGTTTGAAGGTTTTAAAACAAATCCTGGAGGAACATTTACTCCTTTCCACACAACAAATGTGTAAGTATTTGGAAAGTCAATATCTGACTGTTACCATGAAGCTCTTGAATGATAGCTGATGAAAGAGAGTAAAAGGTGAGGATTCCAGGCACCTCTAGCTGATTAGCCAGTAGGTAGGGTTAGTTATGTAAGGATTGTTTTTGGGCATCACTGTCAGTATTATGGTCAAATTCTCTCTTGAAATAATTCAAACAGATCTGAGCCTTTCTATACATTTGATAAGGTAAACAGGTGTAACTTCTGACACAATGTTTTTCTGGCTGTTCAGTAAACATGGTGGGGATGGGCTGATGGCTGTACCAGGTGATCTTAGTGGTATTTCCAACGTAAATGATTCTATGATTGTACCTCTGAGATGACAGAGATTAGCAGGGATGTTTCTTTAGTTATGAGAACTCTGAGGACAGAAATAACAAAGGTAAAATACTAGTTCATTATATGTATGTAGTGTTTGTATAAAAATAACTGATAATGTTGACTTACTCCTAGGTGACTTATGGCTCCTTTGATTATACGTCACTGCTCTACCTCTCCGACTATGCTGAAGATTTTGGCGGTGGACGGTTTGTGTTTATGGATGCAGGATCCAACAAGACAATAGAGCCCCAAGCAGGTAAGAGTCTTGGCTTGCCTGCATTGAGGCAGGCCAACCTGTGCCCTTGAGTAGCTGGCTAGTGCACAGGGACTCTGCATTTTGTGTCAGCAGTGATTATTGAATGATGCAGTTTTCTGCTTTTTTGTGTGTGTGTCTTGAGATTGGGTATAAAGTAAGATTAAAAATGTTAGGAAGAAATAGTTTGAAATATCTGGAATAAATCTGTACAAAGAGATTTCCTTGAAAGATGTCGTATTTAGAACTGCAGTCCAGCCATGGCAGCTTAATGGGTTGCAGCACATCAAGAGCGAAGAGAACACTGTGAACACCCTTACACTACAGCAAATCTACAATAAAGCAATTCATTTTGCATCTTGTGGCCTGAAATTCCTTTGCTGTTCCAAGTGGGGCTCAGTGCTCTGTAATTACTATGGTCTGGGTGTGAAGGTGATGAATTACCACAGCCCTACTGGTGTGCAGTACCATGATGAACCACGGTAACCTGATTATAAGTCCATTAATGTTTTCAATAGATGTGCAAAAAATGAGCATTCAGGTGGATGTCGGTTATACTAAAAAAGTCTTTCCTTAAGGATGGCTTAAAATTCTTCCAGTAGGTGATTATTTGAAATTAGAATTACTTTGGGCAAAGGAAGAAAGCACTCAGTCTCAACTCGTCTGGCAGGCAAGCAGGGAGCTTACGGCAGTGTTTCTCAATGCTTTGTAAGGCAAGGCCATTGCAGAAAAAAATATTAAGGACAGCTTTATATTCCTGCTGTGTTCTCTCTTCTTTAATAAGAAAAAAGAAAAAAAGCTTTCTCATTTAAGACAGCATCAGTTGTTTTCTGACAGGTGTTACTCCAAGGAGATCTTACCATGGCTGCCTTTAAGTGGATGAGGGTGTGTGGTGGGATTTGTTTGTTTTAAATTTATTTTTGTCTGTGTCCTATGGGTCATACTGATCCACTCCACAGCTGTAATGCTGGTTTAGATAAACTCTCTGATTATCTCTGTGTTTGGTATCAGTAGTTCTGTTTGATTATTTTGGCTTCTCTGGGTGAAAATGAACGCTGACCTGAAAGTATTATCCTTTGCAAAATGCTACCATTGGTATTTTGAACAGAAGCAAATGAAGCTGGGTCATTTCCAGGTGCAATTCTAAGATGAGCGTGTTGGTTTTAGAACTGAATGCCACACAGCTGGCAGCACTGCCATCTCCTCGCACAGCGCTGGGCAGGCAGTCCAACCGCTGTACGCAGCATTCCCTGGCTTCATTTCAAAGTCTGCAACTGTGAAATTGCATCCGTTCAGCCCCATCCATCTCATTTTCCAGCTCTGCTATGAGGTGTTTGCTCTTTGTCATTCTTGGATGGGAAGGGGGAGCAGGCGAGGCTGAGGTGTGGAGATTTTTAACAGCACCTGATTGTGCAACTTCCCTTCCGTGGGTTTTTGTATTAATGGTATGTGTGAAATACAACTAGCTAAACACACCTTCTAATATAAAAGAATGCTGAGCTTGGGGAGACCAGTCTCGTATGAGAGCTGAGATTTGCTGCACCTCCACCACAGAAAATGCAGTTCAGCGCCAGCTGCACCTTTCTTTCACCCTCCTTTGTGTAAGCACAGTTGCCAGGTGCTATCTAAATAATTACTGAAGCCTTGTGAGAGACAGAGAAAAGGTTTAGAGATAAAGCACAACACGATGGCAATTTTGCTTCATTTTCCTCTTGTTGATTAAAAAATGCAGCTTGTGAAAGAATGAGAACTAGAAAGTGGCCCCAGGGTGTTTTCTGTTGCTGGTACAAGTTGATCTATTTTTCATGTTCAGAATGTTCTTTCTCCATGTTTTGTTTGTTTCCCCCTTTTTTCCTTCTCTTTTTTTCTGTCTTTTTGTTTTTGATCCTTTCCTTTTCTTGTTGCTGCAGCTTTTTAAACCACGTGTTGATAATCTTTTATGCTTCTTGCTAAGGATGACTGGGGCTTCTTTAGGGATGGCTGTTGTGATCACTAATACACGGCGGCCAATTTACTTTCTCTACAACAGTAATACCATTTACATTCTAATATTTGTTCTTTCTTGTTTCAAAGTTGGTCTCCATTTTGGGCATCTGGTGTTCTGTGCTAAAATGAGCACATTCCTTTTTCTGCAAGTGGTAATTATTAAAGTGCCAGATTCTGCAGTGAAGAACAGAAGGGCATTATATGGATGCCACAGAGCAGGAAAGCAGTCATCAGAAATACAAAAAAATACAATTAAAAACCCCCTGTGTTATCGGATTCCCTCCTTGTGGAACCTAGTTGGAGAATATTTACCGTGTTTGTGGCTTGTGTGAGAAGTCCACAAGTCATGCTTGCACATATTTGAATGTGCTAGGCTGATCTTAAGGCTGTCATGGTTTGTTTAATGATGACTAAATCATCTTGCTTTAGGAGAGTATTGCAATTTATTAGTCAGGAGGCTCTTGAGGACTTCTTTGTTCCTTTGGATGGACATGGGCAAGTCACCACTGCTAACTCGCATATACAGACTTTGGCTAATCAGTAAGCAAAGGTGGCATTATGGACGCATCTTTGCAGCCTGTAAGGCACAAGGAAACGTGTGTATTCCTGTGTGTCTTCTGACTGCAGCTGGGACCTCTGCTGCAATAAACTTGCTGTATAGAGATGAAGAGAATTATCTGCTCCAAGTAAAACTCTGTTCTGAAAGGAGGTGGTGTTGGTTTTCTGGTTTTTTTGGATAAAGAAACAGTTCTGAAGTTATATCTTTTTCTTTTAAACAGCCCTGCATGTTGTATTTCCAAAACTGATGCAATGGCTTTTTTAATAATTTTTTTTTTTTTATAAAAGAGCAACTGGAAAGCTCACAATCACTTTTTTGTTTGTGAGTTTATGGAAGAGAAGAACTGAAGAGACAAAAGGAATTATGTCCATTGGACAGTGTGAAATGTGACTTTCCTGTTTCATTTGTGAATATCAAGCTCAGTGTACTTTCAAAGTTGTGAGAGAGAAGTATGTGTTTCTGGAAGTCCAGAAATATTGGAGATGAAGGTATGACTTGTTTGGGAACTTGTGACATTGGGTTATTGTTAGAGTGGAAAAATGCACTCGAAGCCTGGTTGTTCAATTGTTCTGCTCAGGTGAAGAGAAATAAACATCCTAGAGTGCATCCCTGGTGTTCTCACAGTGTAGGAATGGGCTTCAGTGTGTCTGTGTGTGAATTTGCTGAGGTAAGCGTAGCTTTATTGGAGTGGTTAGATATGAGATGATTGTCAGATCCCATAATCACAAGAGTAATTGCAGTACTTCAAGTTAAGTGGTGCAAATTTATCATCTTTTTTTTTACTGTGCTCTTCAAAAAAAAAACAAAACCAAAAACCCACCTTGGAGCAATTCACTGTTAAAGGCTGTGGGAATGCAGCATAACAACAGAGCACAGTTCTTCTTGAGAAAAAAAACAATACTTCCAGATCCAGAGGTCCCACAGCAGCATTAAAGCATTAACATAAGGTGTGGAGTCTGTATTTAAAGCTTATATTTAATATTTCTGTTTGCGTCATGGCGTATCTGATTTATCACTGGTTGTACGTGTTCTTTCTCCCCATTTAATCTGGGTGATGCTGATTTAATTTAGATGAGGATAATCTTCTGGCATTCCTAGCTTTAGCTTCCTTTCAATCAGCAAAACTGGGTCACATCTTGATGATAAATCAGAAAGCTGAGAGATGATTTAAAACCAAAACAAAAATACCACACAAGGAGCTGTCAGCCCTGCAGGGAGGGAAGCAGAGCAGGCAGTAATGGCTGCAGGGATAATCAGCTTTGCAAAGCTTGCGGGTTGAAGGAGAGGTGGCAGTTCTTAGTGATTTTTCTCTACCTGTCATGAATTGCACTTGGGACTGGTAAGGTGATTACAGAGAGATGGTAGAGAAACGAGGATCTGTGGTGATTGTGAAAGAAGTGTATTGTAACAGGTACCCGCAGTCGCTCCATAGCTCATCACAGAATCATTACGGTTGGGAAGTCTGCTGAGATTGTCTTGTCACAGGCATGGGCTGATGGCTGGACCATTCTAGGTCATGTCCTCATTTGTATGTGGAGCCTGGAAAGATCTACTTTTGCTTTCTGTTCTGTTTTCTAAGGAAGGTTAACTTCCAGGCTCTGTTTTTTGTATTCCAGTCCTGCTTGAAGATAGGTTTCTGATGGTTTGTTTTTTTTTTTTAGTGTTATCTTTTAATTGGGCCCATAAATCAGCAGTACCTGGGAAGTACAGCTCAGGCCTTGCACTTCACGTGCTGCTTTGCACATAGCACGTTCACTCAAGAAGACATTGTAGTATTGAGGCCTGTAATGGCCATTTTAAAGTAGCTGGAGCATTGAAAGGGCTGAGGAGTGCTAGTGAGATGAGGGAGAGCCAAACATATCTTGTGTGAGTGCTTTGCAGAGCATTATCAATAGGGAGCAGTGACTGGTATAAATTAGTTTCTTATAAATAAGCACTCTGAGTGTGTCTCATTGCTTTTCATTCCTCACTGCATTGATGGAACTTGATTTGATACTGCTGGACAAATATGCAGTGAAGCTGAAGGCACAAAGAGGGAGCGGAGGAAAGTCAAACAGTTATCTTATGAAATTTGGGTAAAGTTACAGATGAAGTATAACAAAACACAAAACACCACAGCTAAGCCAAGGGTTAGTGCTGTGTCAGTAGCGATGCTTCAGTTGGTTCCTAAGCTTTCTGAATTCTTGTTGCACACTGTAGGTACTGTCATGAGCTCCTTTTCTTTCTTTTTTTTTTTTTTTTTTTTTTTGAAGGGCATTTCTTGATATGAGCAGAAGTTACCCTTGTATTTATGCTTCAGTGATATGGTAAATCTAAGTATGAATACGAAGTGCACCTCCACCAGGAGTCCAGAGTCTGGAACTTTGGCATCTGTGTGATTTGACCCCAGCTGTGCTTAACATGGTGTATTTAGCAAAGGCAAGAAAAGGAAAATAGGCAATCCAGAGGTATTTCACAT